ATGTAACCACTTTGAAAACTAGTCTGGCAGTTCCTCAAAATATTAATAATAGAATTACCATATGACCCAGCAAGTCTACTCCTAGGTATATACCCAAGAGAAATGAACACATATGTCCACACAAAAAAATTATACGCAAATGTTCATAGCAACATTATTCATACTAGCCAAAAAGTGGAAACAATTCACATGTCCATCAACTAATGAGTGGATAAACAAAATGTGGTATGTCCATACAATGGAATATTATTTGGCAATAAAAATGAAGTACTGATACATACTACAAGGATAAATCTTTTTAAAAATTTTTGCTACGTGAAAGAAGCCGGACACAAAAGGCCCATATTGTATGATTCCATTTATGTGAAGTGTCCAGAATAAGCAAATCCATAGAGACAGAAAGTGGATTGGTGGTTGCCACGGGAAAGAGGAATGACCACGACTGTAGATGAGGTTTCTTTTCGCGATGATGCAAATGCTCTGGAGAGAGATAATGGTGTTCGGTGCACAACACTGTGAAATATGCTAAAACCCACTGAATTTATCCTTTATTTAAATGGATGGTTTTTATAGTATGTGAATTATATCTTAATAAAGCTGTTATATATTTTTTAATTTATTTTTTATGGTGACATTGGTTAACAAAATCCAATAAGTTTCAACTGTCCACTTTAATAGTAAGGCAAATATATGTTTACACTGTGTATTCACCTCCCATAGTTAGATTTCTTTCTGTCACCACATATTTGACCCCCTTTACCTCATCTACCTCCCCTGTCCCCTCTGGTAACCACTAGTCTATTGTCCATGACCATGAATCTCTGTTTGTTTGTCCTGCTCATTTGTTGCTTTTAGGTTTAAATCTCACATATAAGTGATATCATGTCGTTTTCAACTTTTCCTGTCTGGCTTATTTCGCTTAGCATGGTTATCTCGAGGTCCACCCATGTTGTCGCAAATGACAGTATTTCATCTCTTCTTATGGTTGAGTCATATTCCATTGTAGATATGTACCATAGCTTCTTTATCCAGTCATCTATCATAGGATACTTCGGTTGCTTCCATGTCCTGGCCACTGTGAATAATGCTGCTATGGACATCGGTGTGCAAATATCTTTTCAGATATGGGTTTTCAAGTCTTTGGGGTAAATTCCCAGTAGAAGGATTGCTGGATTTATAGCAGATCAGTTCACAGTTTTTTGAGGAACCGGGTAAATACCCAGTAGAAGGATTGCTGGATTGTATATTAGATCAATTCACAGTTTTTTGAGGACCCTCCATACTGTTTTCTGTAGTGGCTGTACCAATTTGCAGTCCCATCAGTAGTGTATGAGGGTTCCTTTTTCTCCACATCCTCTCCAGCATTTGTTATCACTTGTCCTGTTGATTATAGCTATTCTAACAGATGTGAGATGGTATCTCATCATGGTTTTGATCTGCAGTTCCCTAATAGCTAGCGATGTTGAGCATGTTTTCATATGTTTGTTGGCCATTTGTATGTCCTCTAGGGAGAATGTTATATTTTTTAAAAAGACTATTAAGTGGCTTGGAGAATCTCTAAGAAACACAGAGGATAGGGCTCGGAGGCTGCCCAGCTGAGAACAATGCCTAAACGATGCCAGCAGATGGTTCCAGAATGAGCCCTAGTGCTGTATCTCTGGGCACAGGCATCACAAACACTCGTTTAGATGATTACCAGGCCCTCTGCCGGCCCTGAGGGTCCATATCACTCCACTAGGCTCTACCATCTCACATAAAATGGCTTCTCTAGAGTCTGCTTCTCATCTTGCTTTCATGCAAACTGAAGTCTAGTGTCCCTCCAACCGATTGCCAGAGCCTTGGTCACAGTTTCATGCCCTAACGGCAAGGGAGGCTGAGAAAACAGGTTGTGACATGGGAGGCAAGACTCAAACAAATGTCCACTACACCACATTGCTCAATGGGTTTGCCTGGACAGAGGTTTTAAAGTCATAAAATGTTGGAGCTCAGTGGGCCTTCAGATGAAGGAGTAGTTCAGCTACTAGTCTGACTATTGAGTCCAATGATTGTCACATTACTGAAGGCCGTAGGCAATTTCTCACTTTACCTTGTCTGACTTTTTAAGCATTTGGCCCTGTCAGTCACTCCTCAAACATTTCTCTTCCCTGTTTGTGGGCCGCCCCTCATGTACCTTTCTAATCATTTTTCTCTCTGTTTCCAACCAGAGCTTCTCTCTTTGCCCCACTTAAAGCTGGTATTTCTCCTCATCTCTATAAAAGATTAATCCTGCTCTTAACAACTCAGTTCACACTGTGTGAATGTTACGGGTTGAATTGTGTTCCCCCCAAAATCATATGTTGAAGTCTTAACCACCACTAACTCAGAATGTAACCTTATATGGAAATAGGGTAATTTCCAAATAGGACATGGAAATAAGGGCAGATGTAACTAGTTAAAATGAGATCATATCGGAATCGGGTGGGCCCCTAATCTAATATGACTGATGTCCTTACAGAGAGGGGAAATTTGGACACAGACTGGGCTTATGTTTCCACAAGCCAAGGAACTACTACAGTGAGCAGAGTCCTGGAACAGACCCCTCCCTAGCAACATCAGAGGCTGAATGGTCCTGCTAGCGCATTGCTTGGATATGCAGCCTCCAGATCTGTGAGATAATAAATTTCTGTTGTTTAAGCCACTTCATTTGTGGCACTTTCTTAGGACAGCCCTAGCAAACTAAGTGAATTTTTCTCTACTCTTGTATTTGCCTTCTATTTATGAGTAGACAACTGCCTCATTTGTATAGCTAGCCCGTAATGCCCCAGTACCTTATAGATCCACTTGGCTGTCTTGCCCGCTGGGACATTTACATTCAGATATCCTACAAAAAGCACATGCTCAACTTATCTGAACTCAACTCATCATTTCTCTGGTCTTACTTGCTCCTCCTTCCTCTTTCTTTTGGTGAATGGTACCCTCCATCCACCCTGCTGCCCATGTCAGAACCCGAGCGATAGCCTGCAGCTCTGCCCTCTCCTCATTACCAGGCGCCAGGCATCCTAAAGGCTCCACCGCTCTCATATTTTTGGAGTCTTTCCAGTCCACCCCAGCCCCACCTCCACTCCTTTCCTAGGCTGTCTGCCTTCCATATGCCTTCCACAGTAATCTTTCTGCAACACAAATCTAATCAAGAGACTCATCTGCTTAAAATCCTTCAGAACAAAGATCATATCCCAGAGTGTAGCAGATGAGACCTTTGTGGTCTGACTCCTTGCCATCCTCAATAAATCCTTCTCTCAGCTTTGTTCCTCCCCGCTGCTTTCTGCATCCATTCAGAGGTTCAGATCTTACCCCTGCCTCTTTGTTCTACCTGATGCCTGCTCAGTCTTCAAACCATAAATGCGACTTCCTCTGGGAAGCCTTCCTTGATTTCCAGCATGATTTAAAACCTGCTTCTATGTTCCTGTAACCCCCTGGGCATATATATATTCTACCATAGCAATTTCACCATGCACTGAAATTGTTGGTCTCCACCCCAAGCCCCTTCTCACCACCCTTCCCACTAGTAAGGCACTTGACAGTAGAGACTTAAGACTTTTATAACTTTCTATTCTCAGCCTAGTGCCTGGCAAATAGAAGGCACTCAAATGTTTCCAGGAGGTAGGAAGGAAGAAAAGGGGGAAGAGGGAGACTTCCTACTCCTACTCATTTTACAGAGTAAAGAGACCCTGAAAAGCAGTCATTTCTCATCATGCTCTGTGCTGATGGTGTTGTAGTCGACACGTTTGTCAGAATTGAAGTAAATGCAGAGATTTTTTTCCTCTTACACTCAGTTGTTGTGATTGCTTTTAATTACGAACTGTGCTATAATGGAGGTTGGCCCTTTTCAGCTCTCTCAGCCCCATCAAACTCAAGTCACATCTCCTGAAGGGACTGACTTTGCATCTATCTGTGTTTACTCGGCTGGCGAGGGGGACGCGTTTTTCAGGAGTAGACCTGGAAACTGAGCCAAGCCCTTTTTTTCTGTCCCCTGGGCTGCGATTGGCCCTTGCCGGAGGCTGCCGCAGGAGCCTTTAGTCATCGCGCTGGCAAATCTCTCTGGAATTGGGCACCAACTTGCGTGGTGTTTTCGTGCTTTGTGTGGGGATTAGCGGCCCGGCCGGGTTGGGAATGCTACGAGAGGGAGCGAGCTGGATAATATGTAATCCAGGATTTGCCTGTGCCTCGGGGCGTATGGAAAACAGATGTCCCTGCTCCCCGCCTGAGCACAGGATGGAAATGACCAACCAGAGCGCCCTTCGGAACCGAGGACTCCGAGATAAGGCCCTTTCGAATCCAGCCAGGAGGCAGCTTTTCCTCCGCTGGTCTGTTGTCGCTCCTTCAGTTTAGTGCTCAGAAAACGGCGGGCGATAAAGTAGTGTCACCTTCAGGGACAGCCGGGCGGCAGAACCGCAGCGGCGGGGAGGAGCAGGAGGCGCGGGGGACCAGCGCCCACGCCTGGTTCGCCCG